TCCGCAACATAATTCAGAATCCGATAAGAAGAAGGTCATTCTTCTTCTTATATATTTATATAATGTTGCTTATGGTATTATCATCGAAACGACGTCGAGATTGGCGCGAAACGGCGCAATCGACTCGATGTCCTTGTGAGAAAACCACCAGATAATCTTCCAGAGCTACGCCTTACGAATATGTACTATTTAAACGTAGCACGTACGATATACTACTCTTCAGAGTAAAAATCTTGATACGGTATTTGATAAAAAATTAATAAAGATATTTAAGACTTAAGAAAAAAAAATAAGGTTAAAAATAAGACAAAGTATAAGATGAAATGATCGTTTTTTTTTTTTATTCAATGTGACATAATTGAAGTTAGTATTTTTTCGGATCGATTATTTTCATTTAATGTGACGTAATAGAAGTTAATATTTTCGGATCAATATTACGCACAGCGTTCGATAGTGTCAGTCGATTTCTATATAAGGTTCTTCATCAGAGTGTCCAGTATTTGTCATTTCCGACATGAAAGGCCATACGCCGTCACTTCTGACTCCTTTCGCTTTCGGGATATCGCGCGATCGTGATTAATATGAAGTGCCTGTCGACTTTTTACCGTATGACAAGTGCCATTCTCGAATTTGCTTTGAAAAATGCTCCTCACGCAGTGACTTCGAAGGCCTCCATCATAAAATTCACTGAACAGTCAAGCTTATTTTTGGATTATTTAAAAGAAAGACATCTTTACAAATTGAATCATCATCGTTATTGAATTTGTCATTGCCAAGAATCGCTGAGATATAAATTATTTGACAGTGAATGTATTCTTCATGACGTCAATTTTTATTCAACAATTTTTCGAGAATTTATACATATTAAAATTTTAACTTTATAAATCGTTGTAAAAAATATTATGTACAATTTTCCAAAATTGTTACTATCTATATAGAATTAGAAATAGTTCATCATTACATGCAAATATACGAAGATATCAAATATAAAATACGATATACAATAATAATTCCAAACTGGAAAAGAATTAAAATAAAAAGTCTTCGAGATAATAAATTGTAAACAACGCTGTCATAAATTAAAAAAGAAATTGTTATTAAAAGATTATTTGAAACAAAGAATTTAAGCAATTCAAATGGAATTAAATGTTTCTTGAGTCCATTGCTGTGTGTCGCGTATGTATAATAAGTTGAAACGCATATATTGCATGCAGGCGCTTCCCCCATCATAAACAAAAAAATCACAGTAAAAAATTTATCGCGAACGAGAAAGAGAAGGAAAAGTAGAAGAGAGTCCCTAGAAGTGCCAGTATCGAGAACACTAGAATTTCTTATCATTCCTTGTCATGCACCTTATTATATTCCCCGTCTCACCACTCGTCACGGCTCGTAAAGTCGATATATGCAGTGCTTTTGCACTGCTCCTTCCCCTGCCTCGCCCCTGTCTACCGATTGCTGTAACCCAATCTACCCCCTACCACAGGTAAGAAATTCCAGCACCTTACTTCGAGATCCGCCGTAATCCTTAGGTCCGATTTAGATCCTGTCTCACACCTTCTATAGCACGAACATGTCTAATGTTAGATGTTGAGATTTATCGTTCGCTCTTCAATCATCGTTTAATTACAATAAATTAATCAGATTTAAACTGCACAGTGCAATGATTCAATATGATTGATATTTTAAAAATCCTCTACTTTTTTTATTATTATTATGATCTCGCTCCTTCGAAATCTGATAACAATATAGATATGTGTTAATTAAGTGGTTTTCTTTTTACTAACTTGTAATGAGACTTAATCTATAATAATGTAAAATTTTACCTAGCTATGATTAATCACTAAATTGATTTTTTATAGCAAGTAACTTTTAAAGTTAACATTACAAAACTATTAGTTTAGTAACTAATTATAGCTAAACAAATTTTACATTTTCAAGTTACTCTCTAAATTTGAAAAATTCACAAAAGTGAAATCTCACTTCAAAAAAGAGTGAAAATCTGTTAATCTTATTCAAGAGTGCAAATGTTTTCACTCTTTTTCAATAGTGGCAGTATTTTCACTCTTTTAGAATCAGATTTTATTTCAAGAAATGTAAAGAGTAAGTGAGGTCTAAATCGCAAGTTAATCAATAAAAATCTTAAAGGGGGATTCTGGTCTAGAAGCTTGATTTTTAGACTACTTTTTTCACGAATTTTTTCTGAAAAATTCGTAAGATCTATTCAAATCAGAGTTAAATCATTTCTACATAATTAATACATATTTCAAGTATCTTTTAAAATTTTTTTATTATAATTTTCCAAGAAACATAACAGTTTATGTAAAATCATGGAAAAAAATAAGGCGCTACACGGTGATCATGATTGCGGCTATTCTGCTTGTCGGAAACAAAAAAAACCAAAAAGGTTCTTAAAGCATGAGTTTGGTTATAATCGTTTAACTTATAATAAAATAAAATATTAGAAAGAAAAAAAATGGCGTCATTTTGAAAATTATTTTTGAATTTTTTCATATTGCTGTAAAATAAATAAAAATAAACATTTTGACTTTATTGCATGTAGTTCAGACGAGAACTATATATGCGCTAAAGATGTGCGCAAAATTTGAGCGCGATTGGTCAAATAGACTTTGAGAAATTATATGGTCATCGCCTTATTTTTTTCATAAGCTTATGTAAATCTGTTATATATATATATATCTGTTATATATTTCTTGGAAAATTACATATAAAAAAATTCTAAAAGATACTTGAAATATGTATTAATATGTATGTGTCAACTTTGATTTGAATAGACCTTATGAACTTTTCAATAGAACAGAAAAAATTCATGAAAATAGCCTAAAAATCAAGCTTCTAGACCAGAATCCTTTTAATATTAATAGCTTGACTTGATGTTAAAAATTGTTCTATTCACCGTAGCCTGAATCGGGCTTTAGGCACGTACTCGATGCACCAATGACTTTCTCCGAGTTGGCACATAGCGTACGCATGAACTGCGAACGAGCTAACGATTTTATCGTTCTCTGTCTATTCTAAATATTTCTCCGTCATAAATTTATAACAACTAATAACGAGCGCGGTGTAGCCAATATCCCGGCATTTATATGAGCGTCGCGCTTCGCATTGATACCCGTTGCAGGTCCGGTGGGTGTTATGGGCGCGCGCGACGAAGCCCGTGGCGATGAATGGAGCTCGTTTCGGTCGGCTCGAGTGGCGATGGATCGTCATCGATAGATCAGTGAAAGTCGATTCGAGCCTCGATCCGCGCTGGATTGCGATTGATCGGGCGCGGTATCGTTCCAGGAACCATTACGGATAAAATGGCGATGATAAAAGTATGAGAATCCACGACATGTCGGACGGTTGTTTATCGAATAACAAATTTTAATTAGCGGATTATAATGACGCATTGCGCTTGCATTGACAGCTCTTTGCTTTCCCGCGTTCCCAATAATGAATCATCCGATAATATTCACAGCAGCCAGCGTTGTTCTATCGCCTCGACACTTATCTCGGTTCACGATTGCATACAAACGTGCAAATCTCAAACCCATAATTTCCACGCGATTGTGGTCCGGCACAAGAGCGTCGCGATTGCCGACCGCATTAATCGGGTAATTAAACCATTACTCATTGTGTCTCGTATTTTTTTTAAACGCTCCAATTTGCCGTGCCCTTAATGACTCGTTAAAATTGCTTTAATAATGCCCAAGCTAATAAGCTGACCGTGTACACCGTCGACAGCCGATCGGTCATACTTGCGAATGACTACTCTATTCGCCGTTACATGTTGAGTGGTATGGTCGTGTGGGAGATACAGGTTGTACGCATATGTTCTGCTTTTTTAATATTTTTTTGTTTCAACACCGCGCGTCAATAAAAGTCAGTGATTTTAGCATACAGGTTTTACTCGTTGTCGCTTATTGACGAAAAAGTAACACGTGTTGTCACATGCATAATTTCAATTTCGTTTAAGTAGACATCTATATTCGCTATATTACATGTCTCGTGGAAAAATACGTGGATAAATATTTTTATAGTAAATATATCGAAAAGGAGAAAGAAAATATGTACGTGCGCTCTTCGCATATTTATTTCTAAAAATATAAATGGCTAAAAATATTATTGAAATAATTAAATAAAAATAAGGGAATGAATTTTTAATAGAGTTGCGATTGTCTATTAATATCATTAGATTACCAATAAATTACTTTTATACTTGTTAATTAATAAGTGAAATTGAATTTCAAGTTTAAAAAAAAAATCATAGAATTAATAACATTTTAATAAGGATGAATAAAAACGGGAGAAATAAAAAAGTTCTTTAAAGATATATTTTACTCGTTGTTTTTCCCACTTAAGATTAATCATAATTCACGCCACGCAGGACGAAGAGCTTCCGCTGGATGTCATCCGCATCCTTCTTCCTCCTTGTCACAGTGCACGCACGTGCAGCTTTTATGCGTCTTCAAACAGCGCGTGCCGCGTGTGTTTGTGAATGACGCTAGTGTTTCGACAGGAAGCTTCATATCCGAATTTCAAAGAACTAATTTAGTTAGCATGACCGAAGTTTTTCTTGTACTTTTAACTCGCATCCGTATCTAATGCTTATATTATCAATATTATGGTAATATCTATTATTCAGAATTAAGATTTACAGCTTACATTGCTTCAAATAACAACTTACCGCAAAATACTCACCAAGGTACATTTCTAAAGAAATCACGTCGCTAATGTACTTTCGCGATACTTCGTATAGGCGGATGTTTACCAGGCGGTGAGAAAATAAACGCGGAACGAGCGGGAGAACCGTGACAACCGTGTTCTAAGATTGAGGTCAATGGGTATATCGCGATTGCAAGGGAAATTTTTCGACGACGATAAGTCACAGATAAGGATCGCCTCGTTACGAGCGCGGCATGGCGAACGTTAAACCGCACGGACAATCGTGCTTCCGCGATAGTTGTAAGTTGACAGGCAAATCATTGTGACACACTCACTTTGCATAGAGCGACGCCCGTGTCCAGCCTGTCCATGAAATTGTCAAGATTGATCCTGAGCTCTGGATACAGGGCGTTCAGCCACTCCGCCAGATCCTCCTTCATCGCTATTAGGTACTCCTCTGAGGACTTGAAAGGTCTGTACGACCTTCCTTCCAATAGCACCGACATGATTTCAACGATTCAGAAACTGAAAGTAAATATTAAGTTATATTAAATTTTTTATAAATCATAAATTAAAATAGAATGTGTCTTCAAGTTTGTATTTATATATAAAGAATTATTATTAATTTTTTTTAATTTCTCTTTTGCTCTTTTTTTTTCTTTATTTGAATATTACAAACTAAATATAATATCGTGAACATTTTTAAATTATTGTTAATTTATATTATTTTGCCTGAAAATTTGAATATTATATAATAACTCAATAAGATCTCATCACATTTATAAATCGTTTTATATCGATAAGTTTCCAAATTTTTGACTTTATACTTTTTATTTAGGAGCTTTGCGATTTATATTTTTTTTCATATGCGCTTGTTTAGACTAGTTAATGTTTGGCGAAAAATTGAGAAAAGACTTCTTTGCTTTGTGGACCCTAAAAGGACCGAACGAAATCTTATGATTGCTCACAGTTTGAAAATGAGCAGCCTTTTAATATAATTTTCAGATCTAAATTCTTAAAATCCTTAAAATTCATCGATAATTTCAACTCTTTAATTTCAATCAATCAATTGTTCTCCTTATCTGATCCTACGATGATCTTGTCTTTTTAATAATTTTTTTATTCTGAATTAATTTCTTGTATTTTTTACTTATTTTTCCTCTTCGCATTTAATGTTTAGTTAATTGCATCCACAATATATAGTACATAAATTTTGTAATCGATATGTGTTTCATTAAAGTTTTATCATTTTTCAACTCTTGAAATATTCCGGATCATAATCAACGATTATTAATCGTCCGACGAAAGCTACGCTCGCCATGCACGGGAATTGCAATGTGCCGCCGCTAACGGGGCCCCGATTCGTTTTCTCACGCGATATTTCCACGTCCAGATACCGTTGCGTATGCAAATCCGCGGGCATTATTTCGCAGATGCAAGAGGTAGATTATAAACGTCCGATGAATAAAAATCGCCGGGATCTGCCAGACAATGGCCACTCTGGGTGTCTCTGTTGACAATGGCGCGGTCATCCCCATGATATTTTCCCCTATACTGGTTATACAACCATCCTTTATGTATATACGTACATATATATAAATATCTATTGCATTCAGCCATGATATTCCCCATGTATGAGTATAAAGTCATGATTGTACGAGACCCAACCCTTAACTGAAAACGTAGGTAAACTCTGTCTATGAACTTTGTCGTTGAAACACATGCGTAACTTGAATTATTTGTATACATATTACGTAAATTCACAGCACACTTTATCCAAGAGGGACATAAGGACATCCTCTGGACAATTTTAAGATTATATTGGAAATCTACGTTGTAGAAAAGATAGAAAATCTTTTTTCTTTTCATTAAAATTCTCTTTGTTACAAAAATAGAAAGTTTAATTGTCATAAAGAAACGAATAATATTTTATAAATATTTTTCCTATTGTTTAATCGTATATTTATTTCTGAATGAACAAATATACTTTACGTACGTTCGCTTACGTTCTATCATGCATTGAGTCATTCAGTTCCTGCTACATTTCAGAGCGACCAGGTATATAAATCTCCATCAACAGCATTGTGCGCAACTCGTCGAGTAATGTACAGGTAATATCGGGAGCTCGACGAGACTCACAGTGTCGCAAGTGAACTTCATTGTTAGACATGGTCGCTCCGATACAGCGACTGAATAGCGTCGCGTCGGTAAGAACAACGTTTTGGCTCGAGTTTCGCTGAATGAAAATCTCTGGCAAGAGCAAAAGAAGGAGAGAGAGAGAGAGAGACAAACGGAACTTAGATATTTGATAAATAAGCCTACGCCGCGCGACAAATTAATGAGTAGACATTGCGCCAGCCGAATGGGCACGGATGAATTAGCGTCTGACTGTATTGTCGGGTTCAAAAGGAAGTCCGCAACAACTACGAGATCAGTGACCGTCAATAAATTTCAAAATGTTTGCGTGAAGCAAAATTAAGATCGATTTTCGCATATATATGGTAAAAGGTGTTACCAAAAATTGTGTCATTTCTGTATTTGATATTAAACTATTAATTCTATATATGTGCACAATATTAATTCACATATTCTCTTTGAAGAGATATTTAGGGCAATGTATAATACAGACTAGAGACTCACTAAGAATCTATGGTATGAGATAATCAATTTTGATTAATCATGTTTTATCAACTCTTGAGAAAGAGAAAGAAAAAATCAAAGAGAAAGAGAAAGGAATAGAGAATGTATGTCTTCTCTCGCGTGATTTTGCTAAAATTAAAGACAATACACAGCTCGTATCCAGAGTCTTCTTAAAAGGTCTCTACAGACCAAAGACTCTATAGTATACACGTATACATGTACAATAACAGTATAGTATACATGTATAGTATACATGTACACTAGTAGGTACATATGTTGTACTATAGGATCTTTAAAGCTAGTCAGACAATAGATTGAGATTAAGGTTGAATTTAATCAATCAGAGCAAAGTTCACTAAACTTGATATTGTTTTCTTTCTTTTGATTAGTTAAAATTATAATCTCACAATCTCAGTAGTCTGATACGGACATAATATAGACAGATTTTTTCCTTCCCACAATTCTCGAAGTCATCGACAAGTGTGTGCGAAATTAAATATTCCCCTTCCCATTTCCTAAACATCCTATTTTCCAACCACCGGCATGCACCGACCGGAGAAGATAATCGTGGGAAATAATCCATCGCAGATGCGCCGCCGCCATAATATCCGACTGCGATAAAACATTCCATTCATGGGACCCCACAAAACCTCGTTTTCATGCGGTCTGGACCCTCTTTAACTGAACGAATCTTCAAAGATTGACTAAAATTAACTTGAGAGAGTTATCTTCAAGATCAGAAACTGAAAATCATTTTAAGTAATATACAAACGTATATAGTAAAAATTAACAGAGGATTAATTGGAAGGTTAGATTCCGAGTTCAAAACGTTCAAAGTTAAAGAATAAAATATGCCGTCTATAGTGGAACTTTAGAAGGAAATGTCGGTTCCGATTTTTTTAAGGCCTACAAATGAAGAGGGACTCGGTGACTTTGGAGCCGGCACTTCTCATCTCTGCGCATTCAAGACCATAATTTATTAACGTCTACGGTGCATTATGCAAAGAATGACGAAGGGAGGAAAAGGAGAAACAGAGGAATGAAGAAAGACCGCTAAACCGGCACGACGGACACGAGAAGGGGATTAGTACGTAAGCGACGCGGGAGCGGATCGTAAAGAGGCGAGAGAGAGATGAGGGATTCGTGCGTCGGCAGCCACGATTGCGGGATTACAATTTACGAAAGGTGACTGCGAAATGTCATCGTATCATGTTTTCCGCGATACAACGCACGCGCTCCTCGTTCGTGCGCGTCTCGCTTCGGGCGGCAACACGCCCCATGTCGATGCCACGCGTATACTGCATCGGGTCCAGTATTATGTACACAACGATTGAAAATGCCAAAGTTTAAGTCGATAGCGGCAGCGAATGAATAGACCAATCCGCGGAGCGCGGAAATAGCTCGTCTGGAATGAACAACTTGACTTGTACTTGACTTATCGATCCTCTTTTGGCGTGATATTTTATATTATACGCTTATCTCTGTTGCGTATCCATGGAATTTTACATTCAGCTATCTTACCAACTTGATAAAATGTATCACATACGATATGATACAGTTGTACAGTTCAATTTTCAGTAGTAACGCGAACGAATAAAAGCACAATTTTTGTTATGGTACAAAACTGTTAAAAATTTATAATTTCAGAATATAACCAATTTGAATTATTTTTAATAATTTCTACAAATCATTATTCCTACTCAATATATCATTAAATTAATTAAAATAATAGAGTTAAATATTGGCGTACAGTTGTTTATACTAGAAATTGTAAAAATTGACACAAATATACATTATACTATATACATTATACTATACAACAAAATTAAAGCATCACCTATTCCCTGAAAAAATAGGCAATTTCAAAATAGAAT